CCATATAATCATACTTAACTCGTTAAATACTGAAATTAGAAGAAAAATGCATAGAATCTTTCTTGTAAAGGATGTCAGTGCCTAGAACTTCTGTATAAAAAGCCAGCGTCGATAATTAATTGGATATTTCCTTCTATACTTTTTAGCACGTAGCTATTTATGGTTACCATTGTTCTTCCGACGTCTGGTTTCTTTTTAATTATAAGAAATGTGTTTTTCTAAGGTACATAAACTTTTCGGATTGACTGTATAGCCAATACATCCTTAAATGCGCGGGAGATTATTTCTGATTAAGCAAAGCAGAAAACGCGATATAAATTAAAGAGAAAAAGATTGTAGATAGGATAAAACTTTACCACGCCGTCGGAGGAGGATTCCTCGAAACCACGAAAAGCGGGTGTAGCAGCGGGAGGTGTAGTTCTCATGTCCAGGGGTAGCCACTCGCTTCTCGACGGCGAATTACCCTGCACGGACGGGGACGCGTGTTTTCCGCCCCTTGTCCCAAGCCGCGGCCTGCCGCGACGTACCCTCCGACCTGGACAAGTATTAAACATGCGGATTTTTCTTTCTTTTTTACTTTTGTAAAACTCAGGAGGGTTGCGAATGAACATTAGAACGTCGACTATCCGGACGCTGGTTTTTCGATACGCTGTTCATCCGATTAAAGAATAAATTACTGTTTTAGTGTTTTGTGCACATGTTTTCTATTCAATTTCCCATTTCGATCAAATATTTCAAAATACGGAATGATAACGTTTTGTGCGAGTTGGACAATTGTAATGGCATAAGAGAAAATATATCGGCATAAAGTATTAGCCCACGCACTGTCCCGATACAAAGCGAAACTAAACACTCAATGAATATTGCATTTCACCGGACAAAGTATGAAAAATGAATCGGTGCTTTATAAGTTTGTTTGTTTCCGAATGAATTCACAACTTGATAGCAGTTAAAAATGTTTCATTTTTCGATGATGCATGAATTCTTTAAAAAAAATCACTTATCACGAACGTTATGTCTCCCTAACGATTTGTCTGCCACTTATTTCGGATAATCGATGTTCTATTGTATTTTCTATCTCATGTGACAAACTACATGAGCTGAATTAAAGGTACGTCGTAAAACGTAGTATGCGTCGCATATGTCGCTCTGTCGGAGAATAATTCTGACGGTCGTGCAATCCAATCCGTATTGAAATTGGCATGTTGACTTTTCAACCCCTTGAGGATCGGAAGAAAAACTTCAAAGGTAGTTAAACTTCGCTGGAATAATTTAAATAAAAGTGATGTCGATCTATTGTTGAATGTCCGGGTCATAAAATGATTTTATAAAATTTATGTACATTCTCTCAGCTGAATAATTCATTGGCATTCCTGGAAAAATGCATATTGTCCGTGAAAAGTGCTGCACTCCAGCTTCGAGCTCGGCATCGTACGCCTTGTTAGCTTCAAATTACTCCATCCCCAAAGGGTCAACCGGCTGTTACACTATCTTTTATTGCGTACATCTTCTTTCTGTGAGATGTTTGTTAAAATTCACGGAGACAATGATTAAAAAAGTCTCTGTAGGAGTTACGAGGCACGGTTTTATAGATTGCTTCGCAAAGTTTACAATGTTCTTGGCGAAGCGACGCATCCGTTGCTCAAATACGTTTAACTCAAGATACAGAGAGAGAGAAAGAATGTTTAATTGCAAAAAGGAGTTGAATTCAGTGGCTTAATTATAAAGGAGCTCTTAGGTCTTAATTAAAGCCCGGACAGTCGCAAAGAGAGAAAGAGAGCGGAAGGACGAAACGTTTCCCTGTAATTATCATTCGAATCTGCAACAGGAAATTCCATGGCATTTCATCGAATCGATGAATCGATTACTGTACATAACAGGTGACCTCGACAAAGGTTTGATCTCTCTGAGCGACCCTTTGTCACCCGCCACGTTCTATCACGCTACTAATGAAATCAAAAATGTTGAAGATTAAATTTAAATGAAATTTATATAAATTTATTTATTTATGTTAAATAAATCGCTGTGAGTATAAATGATTTGCACTCGACGACATATTAGCTAATATAGAATGTTCCTTCGTACATTTTGGTTTCATCGAAATTGTTCGCTTAATTAATTTCGTAATAGATTACATGACCGCATTAATTATACTGCTGACATATCGTAACGAGTAAATTTCATTTAGAGGCTGAAAACGGAGGCTGCGAAGAGAAAGGGAATCACAGATAAACGATCTGTTCCATACTTGTCAAATTATTAACGAATTCATAACTTTCGGAGTCGATAATTCAAATTATAATTACGATTAAAAAAATAAGTTTATGTGCCAACTAATGAATCTAATAACTTGCCGCGAAGTTACGTTTTAATGCGAAAAAAATTAAGCAATTACCGCAGTTGGAATTAAAGTGCATCCATTTGTACGCTCTTAATGATATGAACTTCTAGTTTAATCTCGTTCACTCGACGAACTTTCCTTCATCGAGGAAACGAGCGAGCGAGAAAGAAAATGTAAAAACGTGAAATAACTACAATCGAAGCTGACGTACAAATCTGAATATCTTTATTCACTGATACCTTCGCGCTGACAATTAAAAGTTCGCATACAATTAGTGATAGATCAGAATGCCGATACACGTGGCCAAGTTGAGGGAGCATCGAAAAAATTGTTGTAAATAAATGCTTGTAATCGCACGGGCGCGCGTGTATCGATTTTCTAATTTTCGTAGTTACCTATATTAAATATTTATCGTTTATTTTTCCTGAAACAAGCTTGCCTCCCCGTCGAGGAAACTGTTTCCCTAAGTCTTGTTAATATGTATACTTCGTGAAAAGGGGGTTTGAACTTGTTGAAAAATTGGGGATCCGAACGAAAATCGAAGCACACGGTACTGATACACACGTATAGTAATTAATTCATTTTATTAATAGCTTAATTGCGTTTTAATTAACTGTTGGATGATGCTTTATGAATATATGCGTTGTACAATACATCATTTCATGGTTTTACCTTTAGACACGTGCAGAACCAATTTATTTGAAATTCATTTTTAATTAAACCTTATAGAAAAGTGGATAATTTTCTAATTTTCGTAGTTACCTATATTAAATATTTATCGTTTATTTTTCCTGAAACAAGCTTGCCTCCCCGTCGAGGAAACTGTTTCCCTAAGTCTTGTTAATATGTATACTTCGTGAAAAGGGGGTTTGAACTTGTTGAAAAATTGGGGATCCGAACGAAAATCGAAGCACACGGTACTGATACACACGTATAGTAATTAATTCATTTTATTAATAGCTTAATTGCGTTTTAATTAACTGTTGGATGATGCTTTATGAATATATGCGTTGTACAATACATCATTTCATGGTTTTACCTTTAGACACGTGCAGAACCAATTTATTTGAAATTCATTTTTAATTAAACCTTATAGAAAAGTGGATTCATATGTTAACACAAATATGAAAATAATTAATATGTTTTTTAGTAAGAAAATTTTATAGAAAATTGTTTGTTACAGATTGTTAGAAAAGAATCATCCAACAAGTTCATCTAGAGAAGGTAAATTATTATAAATATATGAATATGAATTAATGTTAAGAGATTGGCGACGCTCGATTGGTAAATGAAAATGACGTAACTGGACTTGTTTAAATATTTTCACTTGCTCGACGCATGTAATTTCACGTCGTTTACATAGATAAACATATACGTATAAAAATGATAAAGATGACCGTCTGTGTTTCTAACTTTCTAACATTTAACGAAGAGCAGACCGAACAATTAAATAAAATAGGAACTCAAAATAACAAAATACTCGAACGTTTCGTTATTGCGCATATAACAAAAATTTACAAAAATCATTCGCAATCGCTTGAAACACGTTCCGAACAAACATCAACCGAACGGGAAAATCAACGCTTAATTAATGGAAATAATTGGTTAAGCATATCGCAATCTAATTCTCTTACTCTGCCAATAAATGGAATCAAATAAACAATTAATTTGTAACCTACGCGATTTTATAGACAATTGGAAAAAGGAACTTTGTCGATGAATTTTTAAATCATTTGCAGTCTAAATAATTCAACTGAATTCGCAATCGTCGATCTTAACAATAAATAATTAATCTTGATGATTACGTATCTCCTTTTGTTCTGTCTTTTTGAACTCATTATACTCGTTTAATTATTTATTGTGTACAATGGTGAAACGTAATATCATTTTCGTCATTGTTTCACCGTTCGTGAACGTAACATTTTATATAACTTGTACTCCTAAAATAACGCAATGAAATACATAATTTTCGTCTGGCAACGATAAACGAGGTTTTACATTCAACTGCAAAGGATTCACACTGGGGTCTTATACGTTTTCTTCATGGCGAAGTATAGTCTGTACAAATAATTGCACGTTTCACTGTATAAAAAATTACTTAATAAACTGAAATGCGAATATATTTCAATATTCTAAAATAAATGGATTAAATTTGTTTAATGTCAATTACAAATACAAAACGTAATTCACGTCAATATTAATAAAAAAATATTCGACTGTTGAATAAAAAACTACTTATCACATTTTAATGTCGCTAAAAATAAAAGACAATGCAATTATCTGGCCAGGTATACTCCTAAGTACAAAATTTTATATCCATTTGTCATTCACATTAATATCTGTATAGTGGGGAAATAAATGAAATCGATTATTCAGTCATTCATTTGAATAGTTATGAATTATTCTTATTTCGTATGCCTACTGCCTATGCTATGTCACTCAGGACAGTTTATAATGATAGGTCCTAATAAATAAATTCACTTAGATTAAAGCATGAGAATTTTCTACATCAGAAGCGAAAAGACTCGAAGGAAATCCACGTGAGATGTTTTCCTCCTATATACATGCAAAAACTGTTTATTCTGAATGAGAAAATACATGAAAATTTTCAATTCCGATTCCTTTTATCTTCTTGTCGATACCATTCATTCTTCGTAGAAATTTTAAAAGTGATTTCAATACGAATTTAAACGCTTAATTGCTTATTCCGTTTATAACTATCGGAACAAATTTGTTTCATAGGTTTTTCGCAAAAGATCCGTTTCAATGTTTTGAAAAATATTTCTACGTCGAGCCACGCTCCTCAAACGTTTTAACTTTCACCATTTAATTTCACTCTCGAATTTTCATGGAAGCTTAATTGTTTCGATATTTCATTCGCATGATAAACGATGCCTAAACTGATTTCTTTTTTTTTTATTTTGCAAAAAACCTATAAATCTATTTGATATTCGAATTTTTTCGTACAAATTCTAAAATCTAATTTTTACGATTTTTCAGTAAAAATTGTTTGGATCTAGTATGTATAATCTCTTGCAAATATCCGTATTCACGATACTTGCAATAACTCTCACAAAATTGTTAAATACTTAAAGGTTTAATATTCAGCGTTTACCTCTGAACATGTGCTTGCAAGGAAATTGCAATCCTAACATTCTTCAGCTTCTTTGCAAATGTTCTCAACGTTTCTGCAAGACACTTTTGTCTATAAAATTATTCACACTTGCAGAAACTCGAAGAACATCGAACGTAGTCTTTTGAACTTCACAATTTTATCTTATCTTCGATCTTAATTTAATATTTTCATTTATTTATAATTTTTCGTTTTAAAATGTTTTCCTAAATTGTCGAGATACCAAAATTCTCATCAAGTTTCAATCCTTTTCTATATCCAAAAACTTTCAAATCCCGGTTTGCTTCTTTGCAAAAAAATCTGAAGATGTGTAACCTCTATTTATTGCAATAATGTTTAGCTTCAGTTAGTATTTATGACTATTCTAAGGAAATTCTGAAAAGGCTTAAAACCACGGTTTGTAAAGATATTAAAGCATAATTGTCGCACATTGTCGTATAAACAATGTTCAAAATATGACGTACATATTTTATTATTATTTTCACTGTCGCATAAAAATGGTTAAACTTCAATTCAGCCAATGGGAACTCCAATATCGGTTCTCTTTTCATTGCCAAAAGGTCTAAAGAATTGGGGCATGGTTATAAAAATGACTGAAATTGAAGAGACGTTTTCATTTTCAAAACTTCTTAACGTAGTATCCGCAAAAAACGTTTGCGTTCATGTATCACTTTGGATTCTCGTTCGGTAAATTCATTTTCACTGAAATTCACAACCGGAGTCTTATTCAACGCATAAAGCAATAATTTACAGCTCAACGACTATTGCCGAGATAGTTTACGTTACTTTTAGATAAATATTAATACGTAGATAGGTATCTTATTTAGTAGTGTTTTACTTCATAGTAAAATGTTTCATATTTAGTTTTTTTAGTTAATACCCAGATTAAACGCATTTGAATAAACAGAAACTGTGACACATTAGAAATCAAATCGTCGCAACGAGAATTGTTTATTAAACATTTTTGAAGCAGAAATATGCTTTTATGAATAATAAAACAAATACTTCCGTAATCAAACATTTCCTGCAAATATCAAAATTTATCCTACATGGTATACAAAAGCTTCACTACGTGAAATTATTTTTTCATTACGTCACTTGGAACGACATCATTCGTTAAAACATTCAATAAAATTATTGATACAAGATGCGATTTAAATTAAAAGCTTCCTAGAAATATTGAATTTTAAAAATTAATTCACAGTAATTAGCAATACCTAAAAGCTTGATGATGATGCTGATCTAACAGTTCATGCTTACTTTGGTAATTTCCCAAATTGTTTTTGAAGTTACACAAAAAAATAGATAATCATACAAAATTCTACGAAAACTGTATACATTCCTATGCGTTTTCTCGTTTAATACTGATGCTCTAACTACACTTACGCTCAAGAGGTTGCACTGTCGACTACTTCACCTTTACAGTTATAAAAATCACTAATTAAAAAATATAGTGAAATACTGGTCGTTCGAGTACGCTATCGAGTAGAAAATCCCTTACGTTAGATATAAGAACGATAGACGATATACATGTAGAGTGAATGAGGAGGAAGAAAATAGCGATAGAAACAGCAAAGCCGGGATGGGGTGCGCGTAGAAAGGGTTTAACGCAACTAAGTAAGATATACGAGATTAATTTGTAATATGATCGACAAGTTCTACGGTCGTAATTTCAGTGAAACATAATTTTCTTACTTTTCTACGAAATTCATTACAGGTGAACGCTTGATTCCTGTATTGAAAAATTTTGTTCTTAGTATCACGTTCTTTGTCGAATTTCACAATTTTCTTACTCCCTTTGGCTTTGCAATTTATCTTATCAAATACAACTGTATTTGTATTTCAAACAAAATTTCGATTATTTGTTCATAGTCTCTCAAAATACTACCCTCCCATTTCGCTACAAATGGGCAAACGATAGTGGGCAAAGACGTGGTACTAATTTATGAAATTTAAGACCTTAATAGATTTTTCTTTTATCAATAAATAACAAGTTTTCGCTTCAATACGAAAAAAAAATTTCATAAAACTTTTATCTGACTAGATTTTGTTCTTAAAAAGTATCAAAGTAATTAAATTCCATTTTTTTTTCAATGGAAAGTCTATTATGTTCCGAACGAGAAACCAATTATCCTTCTTAATCCTACGACTAATCCTATGGTTAATTACTAGCTCTTGAGTACACGGATCACTGTAATTTACAATATATACAATAACTAAGCAAATGCACTTTCCTTGGAAATAGAGAGAGAAAGGTTGGACAACGGAAAAGAAACTTAAAAAGAGTTTCATCGAAAATTCTGTCTCAATGCAATTTACAAGTATTCTAAGTCGTTAAGTTCTGAATAAATAATCCTACAAATAAATAATGAGTGAAACGAATCGATTAATGAAAAACGGGAATGTTAATATCCGTAGCTACTCGTCGAATGTTCATTCATAACGTCTTTTGTGTCTGCGATAAGGGAAAAATATAGTTGAATCGAAAATTAGAAAGTTTACAGCTTTAAATATTCTTAAACTTTTAGAACGTTCCGTTGATGGGAAGTTTTCGGATTTCTCGAATTTCACGTTCCTCGATTAATTCGACTTCAAAAATACTTTAGACTCCTGTTTAGCATTTCTCTAAATTCTTTTTCAATTCTAATGATCTCGTATTCGTCCCTTAAACTCGAACAAGCATTTTAACTTTCCAATTTTCAAATCGCCCACCGTTTAAATAAAAAAGTGGAGAACAAAAACTCCTGTGAAAAAGGTGCTTTCTCCAGAGTTTGAATTTTCGTATCATTTTCTTTTTATGGTTTAATTGGTTGATTATTCACCGGTTTCGGTTGGAAAAATGGAAAAACTGCATTATCTGTTGGAATGTATCAATCAATCAATTAATTAATCATTCAATCAATCAATCAACTAATCGGCTGATCGGTTATATCACTTTTAATGCCCAGCGAAGGATTGCGAGTTAGAAAAATGATTTCCCTGTAATTGTCTGCTTCGTTTCGTTTCCTTCTATTGCAAATCATTCTTTGCTTTACTCGTTCTATGTATGTACTATATCATTGTGGCTCGCTGATTTGAATCTATGTATGCTGTATATGTGTGATATACATATGTATATGAACATGGTGTTCGGTCTATGGAACCAATCAAGCAAGAGCTTCAAAATAATCAATTAATCAGTACTTATCAAACCGAAGGACTATCGTGCAATTATAATAATTAGTTCAAAACGAATCGTTAACAATTCTGAGAAAACCATAGTAATACATCGAATTATAGTAATATTAAACAAGCCAAAAATACAATCAATACCAATAACATGTAAAGCATCAATATTCGTTAATAAAAAGATATGATAAATAATCTAATATAGAGATCAATGAAAATATCATCATTACTCGTTGAAATGAACAAATAAATTTGAAATAGAATAAGAGGGTGAAAGGAACCGTAGACCGAGGTTTGTAACAGGCTGCCTGTACAACAATCTTAATAACATGATATGCAACATTTATATTCTAATCTTAGAATCAGTAAAAACTATGCGCTGGGCACGAAGCTCTCTCTTTCTCTGTTCCACGCGTTAAAATAGAAACCGAATAGAAAAACGTTCGGAAAAAGTGCGTAACAATAAGAAAATGAAATTTCGTCCACGTATAGGAGACGAAAAATATTGGAATTAGTTTGTTTTCCCATCTCTTTCGTGGTTAGTTAATGCGTTTGACATGTTTGTTTTAAAAAATTCATTGGTCGCAGTCGTTGCGACCCCGGCACTATTGTAAAACGGTATGTAAATATACTTATTATAATAATATATAGCTGCATCTGTGATTTGATTGTAAATCGTGAGGTAAGGAGCCTGTGTGAACGGCGCGATCGACTCGAGAAACGTTTCAGCTTTTCTTGTGCTCGGAGTCCGTCAGCGAATCTTCAACAATTTCATAATTATCCCAACAACTCCTTACGATTAATCGTTCTATTATTTATCGAACGCTATTGTAAAATTAAAAAATAGTGTCCTGTTAAGATTAAATATGTACAATATTTACGAAAAAAACCGAAGACGGATGAAGTATACAAAGTATTCTATTCCTATTGTATTCAAAGGAACAGAATTAACGTAGACATGGTTTACACTTAAATAAAATATGATATCGCTATTGAACGAATAGTGATATGAATAATTATTGGATTATTGAAGATTGTAGACGCTGACGTGAAGTTCGTAGCAAAAAATTTGTCGAGAAGATCGCGCTCACGGAACTATTGTCATCTGTAAAATATAATATAAAAGATCCTGAGTTGTACTGTGTGGTACTATGGCTATGGAGGTCGGCAGTGTCTGAGATGGCTTTATCTCTTTCTCTTCTCTTTAAACATATAGAATGCTCTGCAAGTTTTACGAAAACTCAATACCAAGCAATTCTTAAGTCAAATAACAAATACTTCACAGAATGTAAATATTTCAAGATACTGCCGAACAAAGCTTAATACGTGCACAAAAGTTGATACCATCTGAAGTAGACGGCAACTTTTGTCACACTCGTATCCTACATTATGAACCAGTAACTTAATATATTCTTATCCGGTATACATAGAAGAGTTATCAAAAATAGTTTTAACGCAAGAATCACTTAGTAGCAAACTATACACCATACAATCTAATCTAATAAAATATCTTACAAACTGTGCTATGGTAATTAACAATTATAAACATATATAAAATATGAAAAGAATTACTGGAACCAATTATTCAAGTTAACGTAGAGAAAGTAAGTTTGTTAAGTAAAATAATACTTCAAGAGCTATATAAAACGGTTTTACCATTTCTAGGTTAATACAAACTCGTATGAAAGTGTACCTAAATAATAATATCAATATCTTAATACTTCGAATGCATTTAAAATTAAGATAATAATACTGTTTAAAATTAATATCATGGCGAGAAGAAGCTTAGTTAATGTCAAATGAAATTCAAAGCAAAGACGGAAATATCATATTTTACTGTAAAGAGATAAGTAAAAATGGATTATACTTAAATGTACTACGCTAACATTAATATGGAGAAAAGTGATGAATTGAGCTCTGTAATATCACATTAGAGCGTATATATAAAGAAATTCGTAAGAAAAGCCATCCCGGACACGGGCCTTCTTATAATATATTAAATTCAATCTGCTGCATCACGGTGGTTTCCCATCGATAACTGTCAATAATAAATCCTCTGTAAATCTGTTTGAGCTGTAAAATCGGTTGGCTGTCTATTGCACCGTTAAACTGCTACGCGGTGAAAAATATATTATAATATGTTCGTACGTCATCCTGGGCGTTTCTGTGCGTGTCACCCAGTCGTGTGACGTAATTAATAAAGTAAATATAATCCTCTGTAAGAATATAATATCGTTGTAAATATCTGTAGTCTGTATAACACTGTATAGCATCAAATAAAACAACAAGTTATCCTGACTCGCGGAATAATCAGTACGAGGTGGGATGGCTGTGTCCACTTGCGACGGTTATTTGCGGTTTCTTTCATCTTTTTCTTTTGTGTTTCTTCTTCTGTTTAAGGAATATTTCTCGCTTTTTCTTACGACGAATAGGCACGGCACCTTTTGCGAGTTGTTCTTTAAGAACTATTATTTCGTATCGATTATCAGAAGACGTTGCGAAGAGTTTGTTTCATTTTACAAATTGCTGCGTGGACAGCTTGAACGTAACTTCGGCGAATCGTCAATAGCATATAGTGTTTCTATTTCAGTTGCAATCTGTTTGTAATTTAAGGATCTGGACATTAAAGCGAGTCTTTACAATCTTATGGGCAAGAAAAAAGAATTTCATACTCGTTTGTAACGAAAAATACAAATGATTGAGCAGTTACTGTTACTAAAAATAGTCAGATAAAAATTGTCTAACGCGCTGTCCATCGCAGCAAGAGTCGTTAATCTCTCCGCGACGTCTTGGTCGTTCTCCAAAAGACTATTTAAAACTTCACTTGGAGTTTATGGTTGCCAGAATTAACTGGCATTAAGTCTACTCAACCAAAAAATTATCACAAATGGCCCGAAGAAACTAAGGCGCATTAGTGGTATGCAGCGTCGAACTGCTGCATCATGCTGCTCTGAAAGTGCTTTGATTCAGCATTGGTCTGGTTGACCTCGTAAGCATCGTCTTGGAATACTCTTGATTTATTTTCCAAAGTAACCGTGGCTGTGCCCTCGTCCAGGGTGACTCGGGGCGCGGAGAACGACTTAACAGCGTTGTCTGTCTGAATCTGTAGATGGGTCGTCTGCGCTCCGGTCGGTTGTTGCGTCTTCGGCTGTTGCTGCTGGTAGATCTCTTCCTGACGATGCCTGTCTGCCACGCTGAGCTCGTGGAAGCTGACGAGGTGTCTCTTCAGGTAGAGCTTGGTCTTGAATGGCTTGTTACAGAGGGGGCATGTGACACTCTGAGGGTTGTGGATCAGGCGCATGTGCTGACGCAGGTTCGACAAGTTACTGTACATGCGGTTGCAGACAGGACAGGGGCGCGGGTCCAGCGAGTGCAGTTTGCGTAGGTCAGCTG